GAAAGTGGAGACACTGACAGACGACAGAACATGATTAGAGCAGGAAAGGAGGTGAAAGGAGAAACTTTTTAGAGAAGAACATTTTCCATCTATGTCAGGTTTCGAATCCGGGACCTTTTGAATGAGAGGCAAACACTGTAAACTCTAAACCATGAGAGCCTCCTTCCATGAGTATAATTTGTTTTATCCGTCTCGTTTGGGTATTATTGTTTGATTTTGGGTGGAAAAGGGGAGGGGGGGCAGTTCTTGAGTTAACCCTATCCATACGCCCTGGGGTCACTTTGTACCCTCAGGGTTGTATTCTTCACATTTTAGAATACTTCTAGTTCGAAGATCTCTTTGAAACTTTCAGTTTTCTCAAAAAATCATTTTGGCAGACTAATATGCAAAGCGTACGGATCGGATTAACGAGTAAATGTCCTCTTTTGTAACGTGGTGGCACGTCGTACGGATACGATATTAAAACACCACCTACGGATAGGGGTAAATGTTTGATATAAGGGGAATGGGGGAGCTTTTGGGTTGAAAGGGGAAGGGGGTTTGTGTGATCATTAATAGGTTATACCATGAAAGCAGATTTGACACAAGCTTCAGAAGGTGACTACTGAGAAAGTGGAATGGGACAAGACTCAACGCTGAACTAAGATTGCTTTGAAGGTTGTTTTGTTTTGTTTTTATTAATATTTTTATTGTTGCTTTGGTTCCGCAATTATTGTATTTATTGAATCGATTCTGTTGAAAATGTCAAAGATTGCACTGTATTTTTATCAACAACTGCCTTTGATAAATACATTTTCTGCTTTCATCTTTGTCCAAAAATGAAATTGGAAAATCGTTGAAAGTAATAATCTAAAATAGAATGTTTGCACCATGTGCAATCCTATGTAAGTATTCTAAAAGCAGATTTTTAAATGTTAAATTAATATTATGTATCGCGACGCAATGGCATCGGGCACCCGTAAGGTTTTGAGTATACGGAGTTACTGGTATTATTTTAAAGCCAGTTCATTTACCTTGCTTAAATAATTATTTAAAAAATAGTTGAATTACTTAAATAGTAGTAGGGTTATTTGTGATTGAAACAGATGTGGATTGCTTATTTTTACAGGTTAAATTAGCGAAAAACTGGCTGCAAAAGTTTTGTGAATCTCATAGCTTGAGAATCCTTGAAAACTGAAAATTTACTTTTTGTGTCTTTGAATAACGTTCTTTTTCGAAATCAATACAAAAATGTATTTTCAAATGGAGATAAAAGATGTTGAGCCCCCAAAAAAGAATGGTAAAACAGGGGGGGGGGGAATGTCCCCTGTTTCTTTAACTCCATTGTTTTGACGAGCGCCTGATTTCATGATGATGCGACATATATTTGGCAGGCTTACAAATAAGCGGAAGGCCAGTTTTTAAAAGGCCCCGAATAAGCAGTGCCGTATACTGTGCACTATGCATCTATAAAATTTTATTGTTTTTAAAAAGGAGACAGTGAGCCTTATGAAGATATCATGTGAGGTATTGAGTAAAAGAAAATCTGGAACATGTTCGTGCCAGGCAAAGTACGCTCCGAATGGGAATCTACGGATTGTCTTTACCAGTCAATGTTATTCATTTTATGTTTTGTGTTATTTTCTGTCTCGTTGTCATTGCTCCTCATTACAACTTTTGTGTTTTCTTTACACTCTGTCGAGCTGGCGTCTTTGTAAAAAGACATTGAAACGCCTTTAAAAATGATAATGATATATTATGTTTTACGCCTCCACGGACACAATTTAAATAATTTGACAAGGTACTCTGCTTCGATCCACCAATCAGGGCCAACCCGGGCTGCGAAGGGTAGGAAATAACGAGGACAGACGGGCATACTCGATTAATCCCCCCCCCCAACCCATTCCCCACGCGAATCGAGCTCATGTCTACTGTGTGCGACTTCGAAACACCCAACCGCTGCAGTAACAGCACAGACACTTGTGCTTGTGCCTGGCGTCTGTTAAGTAACAATTAAGCCCATAACTGTAACGCACAAGACAGACGTTCGATTCGTGTTTTGTGAAGTTATCACACTGAGCATCTCCGTTCGTCTGTTTGTGTGATATACCCCATTCTGCCTGGGTTAGTCCTGACAGGCAACGTCGAACTAGCACCACTTTTTAAGTATGTAAGTTGTTCTGATAAGAGCTTAAAACTTAATAATAGTAATTCAATTAATTATCTACAGAGACGAGTGTGACGCTGAAGCAAATCAGAAGCTGGACTATGTGTCATGCGTAATAGACAGAGCGGAAGATGAAATGGCCGGGGCCTCTGAAGACTGCAAGAGACATTTCCGCGTGAGTTAACAGAGCTAACGCTTTATTCTACAAACCAGTAGCGTGAGCAAGCCAAGGCTTGCAATACATCTCTCTTTTCAATAAATAAATCAATTAAATGCACTTTATTTATGTTTTTTGATAAATCAGTTTTAGAATGGTGTATACTCACAATAACATTCTTACATAAATCAATATACACATCAATAACACACGATATCATGAAGAAAGAAAACCGAAATCGTTACTTGTAGTCAATATGTAGTTCCCTGTTTTTTAGCTAGTGTTATCACGTCTTGCTTAAGGACACACCATCACCAAGTAGTTACCCTCTTAAACACCGTGTCATCAACACACGCTTGGCATTATTGTAGTCATAGGTCACTAACCACTCAGTCTCATAGACTTTGTTAAAAATATTAACAGTGGCGGCTCGTAGTTTCTGAAACTGACCGGCTATCTTTCATTTAATCCCCCCCCCCCTACCTCAACCTCCAACCCTCTTGGTCTTCCTCTCACCACAACCCCCCCCCCCCCCACACCCCACCCCTGACCGCCCACTCAAACATATGCACACAGACACACGTAATTTTATACCTGTGTCTTTGCTCTCCCCCCCCCCCCTCCTTTTTTCATAAAACCACATCACACACACAAACACACGTGGAGCCTTTTTAAACATGGTCCCCTTCCACTAAAAATTCTTATTAACATAATGGTAAATGTTAACGAGCAGATTTATAGCAGTCTGTAGAAATATAGAGCCAAATTGATATCACACCACTGACGCTGTCCCAAGCAGACCAATATAGCGTGGGTGTGGTGATAAAACCGACTAACCCACAAAATATCCCCCAAAAATGTATTGGCCCTATCGATAGTAAATTGTCCATTTCATATGCTCACTCAAAAACAGATCTGAATTTTGTCTAGAAATGTCTTTAAAACATTAGAAATAAAACCGTATAACCCGGCACCCATCGGATTATAGCCCGATAATTCCGACTATCCCAACTGCGAGGGACGGAATGAGGGTTGGCTGTTTTTATCGCGCTAAGAATGAGGGGCCACTTGCTACGTTACCGACTAACCCCGGCTTTGACTCCTCTCCGGACTTCGTTTGACATCAGATTCAGACCTGTAAAAGTCCAGAATTTGCTCAGATAATCGTGGGAGCTCTCCAAAAAGGAATATTTGTGTAATATTTCTTGTTGGTTTCATTGGGGAGTTATATAGATCTGGTTGTTTCCTCTTTTTTCTTCGTTTTAATGCTGCTGATAATGTTATTAATGACTAAAACTCCCCACTGTTCCCACAGAACTGTTTATCTCGTGACAATTCCGGTATTTGAAATGCATCTGTATGGATTTGGTTTTATGTGAAATTATGTTTCCTGTCCCAGTGTTTTTCTTTGTCTTTGTACTCGAAATTCACCGATTCTGAAGGCATTTTCCCCTATTCGGACTACTGTCTCTTCTCCTAATCATTTTTCCTTCACTATTGAATGGATGAAGTAGATAGCATTTCCTCCTTTACTAACTCACTCCAAAAAAATAATAATTGTGGGACCTGTCCAGCACACCGTCTGCCCCCAACGATCGTTGTTTTTTAAAGCTCTTTTTCTTTTTTCTTTTTTCATTTGCTGTGTTTATTGCAGTCCTTACCTTCTGAAACATCGTTCGACTTTCTTTGAAAGTTCATTTCGTTTGTGTTTTGAGTAGATTATTTTCTCAGTGTCATAATCTAATGCTTTATCTTTATATCACACCTTAGTTTACATAACGCTATAACATTTAATAAGATGATGCCACTCTTGCTGCGACACCTCTTACCCTCAGCGCAGTGGAAAGTGATCAACGTGACCAGGCTAATGTCACATCAGCTGATAATACAACAGTTACGTCACCTTTGATCTCTGCGAAAAGGACACGGCATGAAAACGATTGGAAGGGTAACAAAAGGAAGAGGTTGAAAGAACTGGGGATGCCTCTACCCATGTCAAGGCACGAAGCGAGCAGGATGTGAACTTGACGTCCTTTGCAGTTGTAAACTGGTTGGTACAAAATGCAATGACATCACTGGTCACTCTCTTGGAAAAAAAAGAGAACCTACGTATATGCCACGATAAACATGATAGACAAAAAGAGATCTTACACAGCAAGGGAAAACCCAAGGAGAAATTACAGCCTTCAATACCACTTACAAGAGTCAATAGTCAAAGAACACCTGTTTGTAAAACAATCTTCAAGAACACCACAGGCCTAACCCACTGGTTTATTTAAAGTGTCTTCTCCGAAAAAAAAAACAAGAGGTCCACCCCCCTAGAACACATCACGCCCGCCATGAGAGAGCCAAGGATGACAAGTTGTTCCATAAAGAGGAATTTTTTGACAAACTTTCGAAGAAATCCTCCTGTCTACAGATGACAATCCAGAAAACGTCAGATCTGCATCAAGTATACATGGAGAACTTTGCAGAGAGGGTGAAAGCCACATTGAGCCATCAAGTGTTTTGCCTAATGTTCAAGAAAAACAATTTGGGTTTACTTTCAACCAAGAAAGACCAGTGCGACATTTGTACAAAGTTCAAATCTTGAAACCTCACAGAAACAGAACACACAGCTCAAATATGAATATGAGGAAAGCTGCAGCTAGACCAGAGAAGGAGACGGACAGAGTGTGTGTCCTTTGTATGGAGATCCAGTGCGTCCTTCTGGCCCCATTCCTAAAGACTTCCACCTTATATAAAACAAAACTGGCTGTACACATTGTTACGACTTAGGATGTTGCCACCAGAGACGCCAGATGATATGTCTGGTATGAAAGTGAAGTTGGTCTGGGCTTCAACAGTTTTCATCATGTCTGACTCAATAACTGATATTGCAAGTGACTGACTTCAACCACTTCATCATCTGCAGTGATTGGCGCAACTACTAAAACAGAAAGCCACCCTGGTGAGTGCAGTTGTCTCGCTGGCCAAAGAGCTTGACATCATAGTTGAGCAGAAATTCTCCCCAAGGGCCATACCCAAATGGAAGTGGATTCAGTCCATGGCACTATTGAGCGATCGCTAAAAAACGCACTGATGTACATCCTAATGGACTACGTGAACATCATGCTCAAAGCCAGACGCACCCTCAGACCCTGTGAAGTTATGTACCTGGACCACAGCTATTTCAAAGATTTGGCAAAGGTCGGAGAGCACTAAACACTCCGTCCAGGGAGAAAAGCAGGCGATCCTACTGTCACTTCCTGGCAGGCATCAAAGTACACTCCAGTCTTTAAAATTCAGTGCAAGCTGAACTTTGATGATGGATGGCTGGCGCTGCAAGGACCAAGAAAGCTGAACACCATGTGTACGACGGTTACTGCTGGACCTCTCTGCAAAGACGGATTGAAGATAACTGCCAGCCAGTATAAACATCTACTGGAGTTGAAGGCCGTCGTACCACGATGCTACCACAATTACCATGAAACTTTGCCTCAGTAAGAATTTTTGAAAGCGATCAAGCCAAATTCAATTATAATTGTAGTCTTTCAAAACAATGGTAACTTTTGTCGTATTGCCTTGCTGTAGCCATAGGACACAGAGTGAGACAGACACGCTCTTCTATCGTCGAGAAAACTCAATAAAGTAGTAGTTGTCAAGCCACGCACCTTGGAGAAAGTTGGCGCATTCTTTGGTACCATAAAGTCTTTTTGTATAATAATAATAATATATTATTATGTAACCAACTTCACCCAAACCATTGCTGAGGTAGCAGAGCTTTTGTGTGGCTTTCTGCATTCATTTCTTTCTTAGTATTACTTTTTTTCCAGGCCTTTGAATGGCCACCCAGTGCCAATAGTACCGTGTCAGACATGGTCATAAATTCTAAAGGCCTACTGCTGCTGCTGCTACTACTGTTGTTTTTGTTGTTGTTGTAGTTGTTGTTTTTGTAGTTGTTGCTGTAGCTGCTCTCTCTTACCCTTCCAACCTCCTGTTCTTCTACTTTAAATGTAATTAATATACCCATTGCTGTGTTCTGCTTCTTCTACTTCTATTAAAGGTTCAACTTTGTGACTGCTGTTTTTGCCCGAATTGACTCCGTAACTCTGAAATGGCAGCAGCTGATAGTATGTTGGTAGCAATAATATAGTCTTCCTCCTATTCCTTCTTATTCTTCTTACTCCTCCTCCATCTTTTTTCTCCTTATCCTCCTCCTTGTCACCCTCTTCATCCTCCTCCTCCTCCTCCTCCTCATCCTCCTCCTCCTCCTCCTCATCCTCCTCCTCCTCCTCTTCCTCCTCCTCCTCCTCCTCCTCCTCCTCCTCCTCCTCCTCCTCCTCCTCCTCCTCCTCCTCCTCCTCCTCCTCCTCCTCCTCCTTCTTCTTCTTCTTCTTCTTCTTCTTCTTCTTCTTCTTCTTCTTCTTCTTCTTCTTCTTCTTCTTCTTCTTCGCCAAGCTGGGTGACGTCACCGCTGAGCTCGCAATACGAAGGCGTGCATCTAAACAGCACAGCTGCTGATAACAAACAACGTTGTGAGCCAGCGAGATAAACTGGGATTTAGGAGCGAATTTCTGTGAACGTATTCTTATAGGGAAAGTGCTATTGTAATGTTGATAAAAATATTAATTTGGATTTACTTATTTACTATTATCAGCAGCCAATCAGTATCGCTATAGCTGACTAAAAGTGACCGGACCGGCGTTGCCCAGTTAACGAACCGCGCCTGACTATTAGTGACGTTAGCAAAACCTGAACCTGAACCATGAACCACAAAACTTCTTGAGGCATCACTTATCCATGTTCAAATGCAGTTTTAGTCTCAATCTTCTGTATCTTTCAATTTTTGTATTCATCGTTTGATTTGTGTTTACGCATCTGGTAGGCCTTATTTTTCATCTTTCTTTTTTTTTACAAGGAATTTGCGTATACTTTATTTTTACAAAACAACTGAAAACCATGGGCACCAGCCTCTCCCTCCACCCTCAGAGCTATTGCTCAACAACGGTATCATCATTGATACCACTACATCAACAAATACACCATACTGGTAGGCAAAACTAAAACACCCACACCATCTCCACCCACACTGCCATCAACACAAATATCGCTAACGGTATCCGTTTAGAATAAGAGTATTCAATGTCCACTTGTGGTAAAACGAACTTACAATTAAGATAGAAGATAGGCTATATGTCTCCCACATTTCATAGTGAAAAACAATAGTGTATTCCAAAGTGGTTATTTAGAAGTACTTTCTAGTAGTTAGAAACACAATGATTAAAACATTGATTAGTACTTTTTTCCAATATCAGAACATCTCATATTTTTAACAAAATAATTTATGTATTCGTTCTAGTGTTTCTAAATATATGGAAAATCTTCTTTTTTTCAAATACAGGTTGTCTAAAAAAAATTAAAAAAGAGGATCCACTTAAAGAACAATAACCCGGTCATCAGTGCACTAATTTTAACCAATCATGGGAAAAAAATATTCATCATGAGGACATCAAATTTGTGAATAAATTTCTGTCCCCGTAGGATTATGCGATTGTGCGGCCGCTGCAACATTCGCATAATTTTGGATTATAATCCGCGTTTTTTCAGGGTTTTTTCAACAAAACAATTAATTAACGCCTCGCCATGTGACTAAAGGGACGTATTCACCGTAATAACTCTCATTTAAGTGAAAAGTTGGCTATTTTCCTTGTTACAAGATCTTGGTTAAATGGGTTGTGATTTTGTTCCTTGAGCATGTTCTATTTTTCAATCCATCAAAAGTTGTTGTTCTCAAGTTTGCTGATGTTTCATATTTGACAGGTGTCCCTGGTTTTAGTAATGCACCAGCTTCAGAGGTCCAGAGGTCCTTTTTAAAATATTTTTTAAAACATCTTTCCTTCCTCAATAGATCTAGATCTAGATCTACAGCTGAAAGTTACAGAGATTATTATTTTTGGTAGGTTGTTTTTTTTTTACTGATATGTATTGTTTTCTTTTCCAAATACACAACAAATTACTGATACTGATATGTTCTGTTTTCAATTTTTCTGTACATAAAACATGAAAATCATGAAACTCTGTGTTGAAAAAGTGCAAAACATGTCGCAAATGGTGTTAGGGTTACTTGCATAATTTTTGCATAATTTTGCTTTTTTGTGCATAATTTGGCCTCCTAAATTTGCATAATTCTACGGGGCCAGCCTGTTTAATCTTCTTAGTTCTTTGGGTGCGGGTCTTAAAGTTGGATAACCTCAGAACTTAGAAGTCCATTAATTCAGGTCACTGAAAAATAATGTTCCCACACAATTTCTTTGATGTAAGCCAGAGGCAGGTCAAAATGTTTAAAGGGCATTTAAGCACAATTAAAACATGAAACGTTGATTTCTTAAAATCAACACACTTTAACGCTCACCCATGAAACACTGTCCAACAGACAGGTTAGGGCTTTCCCGGACTCACGTGGAGATGTCCAGATGGTCTTGCGAGGTTATCGACAAGCTTACATTGAAATGTGGGTGCAGGGTGGTGTCGCTGTCCCAAGATGAACAATGGTCAGGTTGTAATAATTCATAATTAAAATTTATTGCAGTGGTCCTGTGCGTGCACCCAAAGGGCAGTATTAATTGTACTTGCAGAACCCAAGTAAATATTTTTTTAATTACTGGATTCATATTTTTAGCACAAAAAAAAGAAATAGGGGAGGGGGTCCAGGTCTACAGGAGTGCCCTGCAACGGTACATAATATATACATGCGCATTCGTAAATTTATAAAAGAGCGAGATTTTTTTAAACGCTTATAAAGGGTGCCCACTATGGCTGAAACTGAAACCAAGTTTGTTTTGGGGGCGACCGAGTCGGGCCGATCCCATATGTAGTGGGCACCCCCTATTACAGTCAAAAGTAAACAAGCTGTAGCAATGTCCACACACGCTTTGTATAGCGAAAAGCATTCTCTCTGTCCTGTGCCTTGTACTGAAGTGCAATGTACGAGTACATGTTTTAGGCCTAATTACTTCAACTTCTATGTTTCCCATCAATGTTTTTGTCTCTAGCCTGAACAACAACTTGGGAAAAAAAATTATATAAATATTATATAGACTCGTACACAACATTTTAATAGAACTGGAATCAGGTGTTAGCCTGTGCAATATTGGGTAAAATGTGGGTTCATGTGTACCTCCTGTCTCCCTCTTCTTAGAATGAAAAGATTTTAAGTAACGAGTCACGGCGACCAACATTTCCTCTTGTCTCCCAGACATCTAGGACTTTTTTTCAAATACTTTACACAATTTAATATTGTGATGTATAACTGGGTGAAATCTTTTCTTTTTTTTCTTTTTTTTCTAACAACATACCGTACAGACTTGTTTCAGCCTAGGGGAGTCACTGCGGAATGCCAAAGGACTGTCCAACGAGCAGGTGAAAGGCAGGCTGTGTGGCTATGTCCGCGAGAGAGAGAACTGCTTCACTACAAAGAGGAGAGGGTAACTATAATAATTTTTACAATTACAATTGTGCGTGTGGTTTTGGTTGTTTTGAGTGCGTGCGTGTGTGCGTGCATGCGTATGTGTCTCTGTGTGTCTCTGTGTGTGTGTGTGTGTGTGTGTGTGTGTGTGTGTGTGTGTGTGTGTGTGTGTGTGTGTGTGTGTGTGTGTGTGTGAGTGTTGCCTTTCGATCGAGACCGATGATGTAGGAGGTATAGAGGGTAGCGGTACCGACCATCATCTTTCTTGTAGTCTGGCAGACCGCTGAGGCACAACTGTAGAGTTTGCAACATGTTTCTCCGCTCTTTAATTTTTATGTTCTGAGCTTTCTACAATAAAATCATGTTCCAGTCACGGCTATTATAGTGCGGTCAAAAATGCGTGGCGCAACCTATCCTCATATATCTCTTTAACAGGTGAATCAATGGCATCCATACTTTGCTCAGCAGTTTGTATCAATTTGCCTTAACTAAATCATATTTTCCCACAACAATTGGGGTTAGATTTAAAAACTGTTCTTTATACATTTATATAAAATACTTCAAATCTCTGTCACACGTAAAATGGTATTGTTCACAGCACTTCCTGCTTCTCACACACATTTTGATTACGCCTAAGGCCAGTGGCGTCGCGTGGGTTGCAGACAAGGTGGTGCATAATTGGAAAGTGCACAAATGGGCAATAGGCAGACTTGCTACTATTAAATTGTAATGAACGGTTGGTGGGCGCTCTGGTGTCGTCTGTTCTTTCTATCGCTTTCTGCGAGTCTCTCTGTGTGTGCGTGTGTGTGTGTGTGTGTGTGTGTGTGTGTGTGTGTGTGTGAGAGAGAGAGAGAGAGAGAGAGAGAGAGAGAGAGAGAGAGAGAGAGGGAGAGAAAGGCAAAGAGAGAGTGAGTGTGATTGATGACCAAACCTTGTCAGTGTCTGATCGATCAGTAAAAAGCAGACTTGTAATGGAAACAGTACAATTTCTTTTACTTATCATACTACGTACTGGAAAACAGGAAACATTTCTTGAGCTCAAAATCCCGCGACAGATGAGGACCAAGCTTTTTTATGCGCACTTTGTCTTCTAACTGTAGCCTGCTGAATGGCACAAGAAGGCATAAGAAGCAAAGCGTTAACGTGATTCATCTAGATTTCTAGAGAAAGTCAGTTAGATCTGCAGGATATCCCGTAATCTAGATATATCGATATTTACAACTGTTTCTAGATGAAACCGCATAAAAGCTGCAATAAAGTGAAACAATACTAACAACTCACTATGCTCACAATCTCAGAAGATTTAAAGATTTCTAATTACTTTGTGCAGCACCAACAACCAGACTCAATATGAAAATTTACCTTAACAGGACTTGCTACACAATAGAGGGCGACAACTGTACAGTTTCGATACCCATTCTTCATTGAGTTACCGTAGACTCTACTAGTCTACTAGTGTAGTAGATGGGCCTTGAGGTAACTTGGATCAAATTTCTAGCTTGCACCAAATTGGTGCTGCGAACTGGAGTTTCACGCACCTTTCTTCTTGTGGGGAAAGGACGATGCATAGATTTCTCTACAGTGACAAAAATAACTTTGGTGCAAAGTTTTTGCTTGCTCCCAGCAGAGACTACTGCAAGCCACTGCCCGCAAAAATAATTTATCTTAATTTATCTTAATTATGTGGATCTGTGGATGACCGTAACTGTTACTTAGTTCTCAGTGGCATTCCTTAATGGGCTTTAGATTATGTTGGTCATCCAACTTTTTGATCCGCATGCAAAGACTTGTAAACAAATTTTATCTTGTTTTAATCGCGGTCATTTAAAAGTGTACAAGCTACAATAGGACGAATATCATCTTCAAACTGTCCAAAACAATGCCACACGTTTAGTTTTGCGGAAAAGAAAGCGAGACTCTACTAAACCTCTTTTACGAACTTTGCATTGGCTTCCTGTTGAGAAAAGGATTGTGTACAAGTTGGCCACCTTATGTCACAAATGTTTGAATGATAATGCACCATCATGTTTATCAAATCTGTTAAGACTGTACATTCCAACTCGCAGTTTAAAGTCTTCAGATGACAAAAAGAAATTTATTTTACCATCTATGAAACTTAAAACAATGAGTGAAAGGGCATTTGAATACCGAGGCCCCAAGATCTGGAATGCTTTACCAAGTACTTTAAGAAAAATCAAATCTTTTGATTCATTCAAATGTTAGCTGAAGTCGCTTCTGTTTTTAAATTAATAAGATGAATATTTGGAGTAATTTTATTTAGTCAGAACACAACGTTCTATGGTACTGTTGTATATTGTACTGTATTGTAAAGCGCCCAGAAACTGGGTACTTTAATCGGGGTTGAGCGCTATATAAATGTCATTTATTATTATTACGTTATATCAATTATTGATTATTTTGAATTACAACTACTGTGCTGCTGTGTCTACGACTGTGTACGTGTTTTCAGTTTCAGTTGCACACAAGCTGAGTACAGCGGGCTGGAGAGTGCGTTGTGCGCGTCTGCAGGAAGGGCAATAGCTCTCAGCGCGCTTATATTTATGTGCCTGGCCATTTCTTTTCAGGTCAGTATTACATGCTTACAACTACAAGTGGCTATTGCTCTAACTGACAGAAGTATATGACAAAATAAGGAAGGAGGGGCCATGAATACCTTATTTAGAGTTAGAGTAAAGAACTTGAAGTAATGAGCTGCAGTATTAGAACAGGACAATTTAAGTGGAACAAAGACTTACAAAAAGCTTTAAAAATCATAATTATCGTTAAACTCTGTTTCAGATCTTGTACAAGAAGAAGACGAAGAAGAAGATCTTAGTATGACCTCTAATCTCAGTCTAGATGAAGATGATGATGATGATGATGATGATGATGATGATGATGATGATGATGATGATGATGATGATGATGATGATGACGACGATGCAAGCTATATTATTCGTTTAGTCGTGGAGATAAAATGCTTTGATATTCTTGCTATACAAGCGTCGATTTCTTTAAAATGAACCCTTGCCCTGGCTCGCACCGAGTCCCTTCCGTCCAGCATAGTAACAACATGTAACCTTAAGACCTTCTTTGTTAGGCCCATTTCCATGATACCAAGCAGGGCCACATTAGTTTTGCTCTCCTCAGTTGCTCCTGAGGAAGCCCACGTGGCACACGTAGAGCTGATTCAATAAAAACAATTATTAAACATTTTATAAAATACTTATGTTTCATTCTGTATATCAGGCAAGACTCTCCCTCTAACTCTGCTTTTTAAACAATGATGATGATGATGGTGATGATAATGATGATATAGATGATGATGATGACGAAACCCACATTTCAGGAACCTTAAATTTATCCCGTAGGTACTAATCACCCCTTGTATTCCAGTACCCCCCCCCCCCTTTTTGGCCTTGCCTTTCCGTTGTATTCATAACCTCAACTCACTTGTTTCACTTACAAGTCTCTCTCTCTCTCTCTCTCTCTCTCTCTCTCTCTCTCTCTCTCTCTCTCTCTCTCTCTCTCTCTCTCTCTCTCTCTCTCTCCTCTCCTCTCCTCTCCTCTCCTCTCCTCTCTCTCTCTCTCTCTCTCTCTCTCTCTTCTTTTTAGATAATGTTACTATACAACTACTTCTACGATTGTGAGAATGATAATTAAGATAGTATGTCCATCTATGTCAGAAGTGAACAAATGGGGAGTAGATTAGTCTTTACAGCGGGGTGGAAGAAATACGGACTGAGTCGACCAGTACTTTTCTACCCAGCTTTGAGCTCGATTCGAGCGAACAAGAGTTTCCTACCTATGGGGACTTTAAAGTTTTTAAAAGTTCCTTTCTACCACCACCACCACCACCACCACCACCAGGGGCGTGGCGTCACTTCCAGAGAGGGTGGCACCAAGAACAAATTTATGCACAACGAATAGTATTGCCTACTTATTACAGGCCTACAAACTGCAGACCTACTATACGCCTCTTCGTTTAATTTTAATACTGATAATGGGACACCTACTTCCATTCGAGAAGAATAGATATGTGCCTGTACAGTCGTTTGTACAATAGGGAGAACTGACGATAAAAAACCAAGTTCGGCGTTCAAGATTCACACTATCACATCACATCTTAATTGTTCACTCACATAACAATGACTTCCCATGGATCAACAGAAAAGCACACATTCACAGTCCAGAACACGCATGCACTATTGCCCTCGGGGCGTCTTGACATAATGACCCCATTCCCTGATTCACTTGGAGTTCTGGTTTCTAGAAAGCAGACAATAAAACCTATTTTAGACAGTTCTCAACCATGCCATGTCCAGGCTAACTACTACTCCATCCCCTCCCTACCATAAAGGCGTCTAATCCATCTGGGTCCTTTGGCCCAACAGTACAATCTCTTAGTGTGATGGGAGTACCTGTTATAGCATTTTTAGTTGAGTTATGTTCTTGGTGATATCTCTTGTGTCTTCTGTCAAACGTCTGGATGCGGTATTAAAGAAACTTTTTTGCTATTCTTGAAAAGAAAACTCTGTTTTCAACTGATTGAATCAAATAGTTTATAGATCATTTTGAATTATTTTGACCAGACTTCATACCTAAACAATGAACCCACAAATGGGTTCAGGCGAAGACACTGGTTCAGGTACCGATCTGGGCTCGGCGCCCTCGGTGATGTCAGACGTAGGGAACGAAAGACGCGGGGAGACCCTGGCAACCGGCAACGGAGGGTTACCCGCCCTCCTCCCACTAGCCTAGACACCATAAAACTAAAGACTGGCGTACTTAGGGATGAACACAGAATAAGAGATTTGTTTGAAAAAAAATATTGTGATATGTAGGCAAGTTTTGGAAAATCGTATTCCCTTTTTTAAAAATCCCTTCTCCATTAAAAAGGTGGCGCCATGGCGCTATGCCCCCATTTGCGCATGGAGAGCCACGCCACTGACTACTACTACTACTACTACTACTACTACTACTACTACTACTAATAATAATAATAATAATAGATAATAATAAATAATAGATAGCATTTGTATAGCGCATATCCCCGCTCAACAGCAGGCTCTATACGCTTTACACTATATTATTACCCCAGCAGACCATAGAACACTCTGAAACATTCTCAGCTTCCCGGGAAGCATACAGTGCGAGCAGCCGATTAAGCGCTCAAACACTAACAAACTGACAAGATCTTTCGCTGTCTATAGCCGGGTACCCATTCCCACCTGGGTGAAGTGAGGAAAATTCGTGTAAAGTGCCTTTCCCAAGGACACAACGTCGGGCCCTTGGCGGGATTCGAACCCACGACCTTACGGTTGCGAGTCCGAGAGCCTAACCACTAGGCCACCGACGCCACTACTACTACTACTACTACTACTACTACTACTACTACTACTATTACTTCTATTGCAGCTACTACTACTACTACTACTACTACTACTACTACTACTACTACTATTAATACTACTACTACTACTACTACTACTACTACTACTACTACTACTACTACTACTACTACTACTACTACTACTACTACTACCACCACTACTACTACCACAGCTATTACTACTACTACAATTACTACTACTACTACTACTACTACTACTACTACTACTACTACTACTACTACTACTACTACTACTACTACTATTACTACTACTACTACTACTACTACTATTACTACTACTAATACTACTACTACTACTAGATCTACTACTACTACTACTACTACTACTACTACTACTACTACTACTACTACTACTACTACTACTACTACTACTACTACTACTACTACTACTACTACTACTACTACTACTACTACTACTACTACTACTACTACTACTACTACTACTACTATTTACATTTACATTATTTTCTATTAATTTGATTTGACAATAGAGATAGTATACTATATTATACCCATACCACTTCTTGCTATAGCATTCCGTTTTCTCTGGACTTTCCGGTTTGCGTTTATCAAACATTACAGCATTGTAACGTAGATGCGCGCTCTTTAGTTACTATAGCTAGTGTAGTCATTGGATCTAAGAATTTGGGGGGGGGGGGTCCTAAAGAAGCCCGTGGTCGGGTGAAACGTTGAACATATGAAATATTCTTGAAAATTATACAAGTCTCAGCCCTTTTTTTATTCTCAGCTGTTTTCAATGATGCTGCTGCTGCTGCTGATTTTTTTTTTGTTTCCTTAATGGGCCTGGTGGACTCCACGAAGAAATCTTCGAGCGAGAGCGAAGCTCTTTTTTCTGCTCAATTGTCATTATGCTTAGATCTAGAGGCACCTCCACTAGTCCAAATAACTCCAGGTACTGAAAATGGCAAGCCGACCCCTTCCGATGGGGAGTACTGTTCTCAAAAAAGACAGCCACAACCAATGGAGAAGCTCTGATGATGATGATGATGATGATGATGAAAATCAGACAAAATGAAAGCCTGCTTCCCCGACCCTCCTCTGATTGCACTTCGTCAGCCTCCTAATCTTGGCAACCTCCTCATTCGCACTAGAGCAGTAACACCCACGTCCTCACTTCCGGTATACCCATGTTCCCCGCCTCAAAATTATCCTTGTCAAAAACCTAGATGCAAAACATGTGCCTACATGAAAGTAACCAACTTTGTAGAAGGCCCCCACTTTAAAAGACAACTTTCCCACAGCATCACTTGTGAAACTAAAAATGTAATCTACCTCATATCCTGTAAAGTCTGTCCAGCTCAATATGTAGGTCAAACTACCACCACACTAAGAGCTAGGTTTAATAACCATAGGTATTCAGTCCAGAAAAACTCCAGCACACCAGTTGGCCAACATTTCAACAGTCCTGGTCACAATGGTACCTCCGATTTGCAGCTTCAGGGAATTGAAATAGTCCAATATCCTACTAAAGAAAAATTTAACCAAAGAGAATCAATGTGGATTTGGAACTTGGGGTCTCACAAAATTCTCACTGGCCTTAACATCGACGAGCCCCATTTTAAGGACCTAAAATTTACAACGTAACGTACTATTCACCCCTTATGTTCCTGCAACACCCTCCCTTTGGCCCTGCCTTTCTGTTATACTCCTTACCTCCACGCACTAGTTCTCTCTCTCTCTCTCTCTCTCTCTCTCTCTCTCTCTCTCTCTCTCTCTCTCTCTCTCTCTCTCTCTCTCTCTCTCTCTCTCTCTCTCCCTCTTTTCCTTTCCCTCTCTCTCTGCCACCTCTGGCCCTAGTGTTTCTCTTTCTCTGGCCTTTCCGATTTGTGTTCACCGCACCCTTCTGTTATTATATTCCTTACTTCCACGCACCTTTCCACCCCCCCCCCTCTCTCTCTCTCTCTCTCTCTCTCTCTCTACCACTTCTGGCTTTAGTGTTCCCTTCTCTCCGGCGATTTGTACTCACCGCTCCTTTAAATATTCAGACATTTATGTACGCACTTTAGTTTTTATAGCCTGTGTATATGATGATGATGATGGAGATATTTCCGATATTGTCCAAACCACACCAATACGTAACTTATAGTGAACACTTTGTTGCTGTGGCGTCATTACCCATTTATTTGTCTCAAATACTATGTTCCTGATGAAGCCTTATTGGCGAAACGTTGAACTGTGAAATATTTGGGGGGGGGGGGGGAAATACAACAAGGTCTTAACTGTTTTAATACCTTCTTTATACAATGATGATGATGATGATGATGATGATGATGATGCTGATGATGATGATGATGATGATGATGATGATGATGATGATGATGATGATGATGATGATGATGATGATGATGATGATGATAGTATGATGATGATGATAGTAACAGTGTCTATACCCCGTCTAATATTTGTCTCTGTTGCAGTTTATCTTCAAACACTGAGGGTGATGCTATGACTGAACCTAATTCAGAAAACTACAGCAGGAAAATAAAAGACCTTTTGGTACAACTGGTCACTGAAATGTATGACAAAGTAATGGTATTTTGCCCGTAAAAATAATTTTCGATCTCCCCATTTTTTAAATAAATGAAAAGCGTGTTTTTCCTCTAACTTAACATCATGACGACCGGGCGTGGAATGTGTGGAGACCCCGCATGCGCCTGATAATATATAGGTCAAGTAAGGAGGGTAAAAATTCACTCTTTCCATTTTTATGCAATAAAAAATATTTTGGTCGTTATTGTTCCAATTTAAAAGTGTGCAAAACTCATCTCATTGTTACAGATCCATTACAAATTTTAATAAAATACAATTTGCATGATTTCACGTTATCTATCTACGTGTTAACATTTTGCAAACACAGTGGTTTACATCTAACAGAAACAATTGAATTCTTTAACTTGTAGACTTTTTGCCCTAAAACTATACACAAAAGACTCTCTCTACTAGCAGAAAGTACTCAAAAGAATTTTGTACATATTTGCAAAAGTACCAAAGAATATCAGGCGTCTAAAGAAACATCCCAGATTCATAGAAATCTCTTATGTTATTTGTAATTATTATCAAGGTGCATTTAAAAGCCAAGAGATGAATTCATTGGGTTTTTTGAATGCGTGTCAAATACATGCACTCATAATAAACATAATATGTAACTCATTTTATGCCATTATAATAAAGTCGGTGAGATTTTATTGGTTGAACAAATTTGCCGTGCCTTATTCCTGCCATCATTATTTTTTTTTAAAGAATTATACAATATTATTATATTAATCGTAAAATACAGTGCATTTATTTACCCCAAAAATCATAATAAAAATGTTTGCAGTGTTTTAGATCCATATGACTAAATGCCATTTTTAATTCTGTATTTGAGTTATATATATACCCAGAGGCAAAAGAAACGCCAAATTTCCGTTGTCGTTCAAGCGCTGGCCAAAATGTCCATTGGTGAGTAGCCTGCTGTTTGCCTAATAATTATTCCGTTGAGGCATGGTCTGGACCTGCAAAGGTGACCTCATTCGAACAATCTGGGGTGCACACGAGATACCGCAACTGAAGCAATGAGATACTTCCTAGACCTCCCATGTGCAGACGAGAGGCACAAACTGGCACAAGTCCAAGCCTTTCTGTGAGCCCGCGTAGACGAGACGAACCCTCTACATAAGAAAGTGGGACGGCAGATGACATCAAGGCTAAAGAGGGGCTCAGAATGGATGACCCAAGCCACAAACACCACCAACAAGTGCTGTCAGATGCAAGACATCAGGAGAGGCAGGGATTGGGTTGTGGTCGAAGATGCGCTCGGAGAGTACACAACAGTGAAGGCAACATTGGGTAGAGAATGTCGCAACTGGCCACTTGGAGCTACAAACGCTGAAATTGAAACCCTGATAGAAGAGCATAGCGAACATGGAGATGCTGTGATCTTCACGGATGGATCAGTCAACAGAGGAGTAAAATCGGGCTGGGCCTTAAGTGTCTGAGTTGATGGGGTAGAAGTGAAAGAGCAAAGTGGAACAACTGCACTGGCAACATCAAGTATGTGTATGGAGATAAAAGCCATAAGTGAAGCTCTACACTGGATCAAGAACACTAGCCATCAGCGAGCAGTAATCATTACTGACTCATTGAGCACACTACAGAAGATACAGAAAGGGATGCTGTATGTGGACTGGAAGGCTACGATCAGGGAGAGCAGCCTGGAAAGAGTGGCCTGGACCTTCTGCCCGGGTCACGCGCGGGTTACCGGCAACGAGAGAGCAGACAAGCTGGCTGGAGAAGCAAAAGTGGGAGGGAATTTGACACTGGACCCACCAACCGTCCTATCCACTGTAAGGGAAAATTTGAGGAAGAGTAGGGCGGATAGCGGTTCCCACACTCTAGGGAGACTGAAGGAGAAGGGGGTCCAAAAAGGAGAGGGGAAATACAGCCATCTGTGCGGAGCAGTCCGACAGATCTCCAACCAGATCATGATGGAGACTATAAGTAGACAGACTCTGGGATGGATCCTGAAGAGGGGAGGAGAGCAGAGATGGACATGTTCCGACTGCAGTGACCCCAACACAGCGGACAAGTAAGGACGAGTAAGTAACACTCTGATTTGTCGCTTAAGCAACAAACAACTATACAACTAGCTATCATAGCTCACAGGTACTCACTTGTCGCATCATTCGAATCATGGATCACGTAGGCCTGGCAAACAGATTTAGAGCCTTGAAATATAAAATTAAGTTGGAATTAAAAGCAGCATCAGGAGGCTGAGACTTTCATCAGAAAACATTGAGAGGGCTATTGAACGACTAAATCTAAAAGCTGGCAAGTCTGCCGAACTGTGGCAACTGTTGCAAGTTTGCTTGTCTCCACAATTTACAGTTTATAGAACCGGTTTCGAGCTGCCAATTCGACCAGTGAGTTCCCAGAGCTGGAAGATAAAAGGGCGATAACTGCAGCTCTGGATCACCTCTTGGTGCCCCAATATATCCGTTCCTGACAGCCGTTGAGACCCCCCGAACCGCACGGCAGAGATTGCACCCCACAGACCTCTGGTGTAGACGGCACAGGCTCACATAAACTGAAAGAACAGACAATGGAGAAGGGTGCTGTTCACCGACAAGAGCAGATCTGCGTTGGTCCGTCAAATGGGCGCATCCGTGTGTGACGCACAGACCTGACGTCCTACGTCGATGCCAACGACGTGGAGAGAGACCCTTGGGGAGTCATCGCTCTAAATATCAAAGAACTGGACCAGTGTTATTCCAGAAAGTGGGCCATTGACAAGGAAATGGGGTCACAGCTCACTGCTAGATTCACCAAGTTCTTCAGCTTCATGTACTGCCCTTCTTCTAGAGTTCAATCTTCTTCAATCTAAATGTTTTCCAGCAAGAAAACGCAAGACGTTTTACTGCCCATGGAACATAGCAGTTCTTGGGGCATCAAACTTTTGCCTCATCCGGCTTGTTCACCTGACTTAAACCCCATTCGTATACTTTAGGACGCTGTCCAGAGGCAGCTCAACCAGCTGCAACCACGGCCACGGACAGCTTCTCATTTGGCTTCAGCCATCGTCGTGGTGTGGATACAGATCCCAGGTCGACAAATAAACACTCTTATGAACTCTGTGGGTCGGACATGCAAAGTGGTTATTGTAGCCAACGAATGCCGCACGTGGCACTGATTTTCTGTCCCAAGGTCAAGTCACAGAGAGAGCGCAGTGAGGCTAAAACTACACTATAACAACAATCTATTGACACTCTCGTGGCTGTGTAAACTGGACGCATTATCATTTACATACGACAAACCTCTGCTTAGTGTAGTGTTCATTCTTTAGTTATTCGCGTTTCTTTTGCCTCTGATCTATTTTTATTTTTATTTCTTTTTCCTTATTTCTTCTCGCACGTTTATACAAAACAATGAATATTAAAAAATTAGCAATAATTCTTTTAGATAAACACTGAACGAAAACTCAAGTTAGAGATAGAATTTTTAAAATGTGAAAATACAATTGAAGTAGAAAAATGTATTATGTGGGCCTATAGATCTCTTCATAAAAGCTTGTTTTTCTTACAACGTTTTTGTTGAAAGATCTTTTAATTTGTACAAAGTCGACTTTTCCTTCGTTTTTCACTTTATTTACATGTTGTTATACAGTATTTGTAAAACATGTGTGCTTTCACTTTAGATCTCAATTATGGTTAAATGTTTGAACCAACGTTTCCACATGATGGTACAGCAGATTTTACTTATTCTCCGAATGACTTAAACCTAACTGCATAAATTAAAGAAATGACAAAAATAAGAAGTGTGCTGCGTTTTTTTTTTATTCACTTTTATGTATGTATGTATGTATGTATTAATTGTTTTGTTGTTTTTTTGTTGTTTTTTTAAATGTACAGTATTTATCTATTTAAGCCTACTGATTGTTTGTCTATAAATTTATTTATCATTCATTTATGATTTTTACGTATTACATGTTCATTTATTTTTTTCTTTTTGTCGTCTAGCTTTCGTATAATTAAAATTTGTGATATAAAAGAATCTTCTTAGGACATTAGGCACTATCAACCTCGAACTGATCCATAGATCCAGTTGGGTAAGCTATTCAATCGATCGCTGACTCACTCATTCACTTAATCCCTCAGTCTCCCATGCATTTTTTACATGCACGAATTCAACTCACAACTCGCAACTATATCATGACGATTTAATTGCCTTATCATTTCAGGAAAAATAACGGACCTGCTTGTCTACTTTTTTTTTACCTATTCAAGTTGTATTCAATTTATTGTATAATGGTGTTTGCTTAAAGTGTAAAAAATATTTAGCTGAACCAAACTATGGAAGACTCTCTAACCTCTAATAAAAACATAACCAAAGAAGACCTCAGCGGGTCTTCTAAAGTTTGATTAATATTAATACTTAACCAAATATGGCAGAGTCTCACTAAAATTTGATTAAAGCTAAACCCATTAGGACTAAACTGCCGTAAGCTGACAAAACGCGCTTTTTTGTCCAGAGCAGTTTCGAGAAATCAACGATTTTCTGTTTTCTTACAATATCTCAACTACTTTGCACAGTGCATCAACATTTGAACTCACACCCTAGAATGTCATTCCCTATGTGTACAACATAAATTTTGTTTATTTTCTTTGAGAAATAAACAAATAATCACGAAAAAAGGCGTTTTGCCAGCTTTGCCTTACACAAGGCGTTTTAACAAGAACGCCTTTTTTAGATATTCGCTGACAGAACGCCTTTTTTTAGTCGCTGGCACGACTGCTGCAACTGCTGCTGCTGCTGCTGAGGAGGAGGAGGAGGAGGAGGGGGAGGAGGAGGAGGAGGAGGAGGAGGAGGAGTTCTTACGTTTTTTAAAATATATGATGCAGAGATAATATTCATAGTCAAAAAAATCTAGTAAATCGAGGGGAAACAAATCACTTAACCTGAGACGAAGGCAGACGACAGAACAAGATTGGAGAACAGAAAAAGAGGCGAAAGGAGAAATGTAAAGAAGAATATTTCGTTCGAAGATTTTAGGTTTCGCTCCCGAGGCCTTTTGACATCTAGATCACGACATTGCATAGTGAAAAGTGAAGAAAAATGTAAGATATGAGGGGACATCAAAGAATTGTTCACATGGATTCCTAATACAACAGGAATGGTGTTCCCTTATCTGATGGCATGATTATCTTTTTTTTAAGATTTTAAAATTAGCCAAAGATAGGCTACACTAGGTACAAAAAAACAGTAATTAATTGCAGTGTGGCAAATGTTTTACGCCCCTATGGACAAAGTTTACGAGCAGTGGCGGTAGGCGGACCAAAATTTGGGTGGGGCTTAGATTGCTTTCACTTCTTTACCACCAAATAGCAAGCAAAAAGAATAAAAACAGTGGTGGTTTTTCCATACTCACGGTGAGCCACGGCATTTTCAGAACCATTCAACGAGAAGAGTCACCTTTGTCTTCCTTCTCTTTGTTCTATATTGAATTCTTCTGGATGCTGGAGACGAAAGCGTTTCCACGAGCTCAGAGCTGGATTAGGCCGTGTAGTCGAGGAAAATAGACGCCGCACCAAACAAAGGTCCAATGGGAGCTTAGGTAACTGTGCAGTGGGGGAAAGTGTGTCGTAAACGTTCACCTCATTGTCAGGGCTAGGACAGCGTGCGCCCTCTGTGTAGTAGTATTTTTTAAAAGCCTTCTACCTTTTTGCTAGAAGAATTTCATTAACAAGGTCCGTGGGAACGGGCTCACATTTTCTGAGCCCTAAAGACATTTGATTGGCGGATAAGTTACTATAGTTGTAAGCTGTGGCAACAGTGATTGGAAAAACTAGCAAGACGCCAAGTTGATACCTCTGTGTTCATTGCGAGCGATCATAACGATTTCAACTGCTTATTTCGTTATTTTCATTTGCTTTGGGATAGAGTTGTAGGGTGGGGGTGGGGGCTCAAGCCTGTGAGTCCTTCACTACCCACCGCCACTGTTTATGAGTTTAGATAATAGGCTTCTTTGGCCTTGCATGTCAAGGTCACTCTGATCTGAAAAGGACACACATTTATCAAAGCAGACAGACGAAAAAGAAATCTAAAAAAGACATCCCCACGCAAGACTCAAACTCATGTGGTAGACAATAATAATAATAGATAGCATTTGTATAGCGCATATCCCCGCTCAACAGCAGGCTCTATGCGCTTTACACTATATTATTACCCCAGCAGACCATAGAACACTCCGAAACATTCTCAGCTTCCCGGGAAGCATACAAGAGACAAGAGCCTAACCACAACCCCACAGATGCCGGTTAGACTTGACAAGATGATGAAATAACTTCTTCAATACTTTAATTAGTGTTTTTACATAGTTCATAAGTAATATGTATAAAACAACATCTGAAAGATAAGGCAACGCAATTAAAAGTAATGGATATTCAAAAAAGCTTTTAACTGTAAATGTGAGACAACATGCAGGACGTTTATCGGGTAAAATAAATATAAAATGTAAAGAACAGTTCTGGAATGCTGAAAGTAAACAAAAATGGCAGGCACAATAAATAGACTGAAAGATTTTCTAATAAACAAATTATGTTAATTAAATATTTTAGAAGCGTTTGATCTATTTAGACTACAAGATAACCAAATAAAATATTTGAGTCAACGTGGTGAAATCAGGCGCTCATCAACTTACAGAGATCCAAGAAACATGCATTTTTCCGCCAGTTTGGACATTGTTATCAAATTATTTATTTTTTTGGCCTAATCTCTTTAACGTCCTTATAAAAACACACTTCTACGAGAATTTTACTGAAAAATATTAGTTGAAGGCACAAAATATAGGCCTATCATTTTTCTGTTTTCAATGACTATATTTAGCTGTAGGAGATACCAAACTTTGGCTGCCATTTTCTGGCTAATTTCACCACTGAACCTGGCAAACTCACTTCCTTAAATTGCAAATATCTTGAGTTCTATTCAAAATAGATCAATATTTACTTTATTGGAAACAAGGCAAATAAATCAGCTTTCAGGTGACATAAATAACTTCAAAAGCCCAAAAAGTGACAAGCACCTGATTCCACCAGGTCGTCACATACACACACACACACACACACACACACACACACACAGACAGACACACACACACACAGACAGACACACACACACACACACACACACACACACACACACACACACACACACACACACACATATATATATATATATATATATATATATATATATATATATAGATAGATATAGATATAGATATAGATATAATGATTTAAAAAATGAAAGTGAAGAAATTGGCATTTTTTTGGTCCATGCGCAATTTTTGTCTACTTTTTTTTTAGGTCCCTTTAACAACATTTTCGTGTGTATTTAACTAAAAAGGCACAATTAATGTAAAATTTTCAGTTCCCAAGGACACTCAGTCTATGGAAGTTACCAAACTTTGGCTGCCATTTTCTCGCTAATTTTACTTCCCACACCAGGCAACCCCCACCTCCAGCAATATTTTTTTTACAAAGCTGCCCGTCTCAGGCAGGTAAATTTGACCTTGGATTGATAAGACAGTGCGGCCGCGGTCAAGTTGGAAAGGTTCTCGTTTTACACAGTTAAATGGTAAAGAAAAAACTCGAAGAAGGAAATGGAAACTGGTTGTTTGTACAGGTGGCCGTACAGTGGAATCCTGTTATAACGAGAGGGAGGGGACCAAAGCAAAATGTCCGTTATAGCAGGATTCTCGCTATACGGGACCCAGTAATAAATTCAAGGGAAACTGTAAAGTAGGCCTAATCTATGAGTTTGGTGTTCTGTTTGTCCTTTTGCTTTCTTCCCTGATGATGATTTTGTTTCAACATGACCTCTAGGTCTTACTTGATCAAAAATCGAATCAAGTTTGTTTCTTTAGCGCTAGATCTAGCGATGTGGACAGACAGCTTGGCGTTGGCGATCAGAAAGAAAGGGCTCTGGGCTAACTTGCACGCTGTGTTTCCCCCACCCCCACCCCCCACCCCACCCCACCATGTGGTGCATTCTGTCTGCTTGCCCACGACACACATTTACTCCATCCATCACATTGCTGTGACCATTCCATCCCCGCATTGGAGAAGTGAGAGGCATGGCAGGCCTTGATAATCTAACCTGGCCCATCACGCGATACGTTCTGCTTGTCTGCGCATGCTACACCCTCCCTACTCAGTTGCTCCAGCCTTCATTGTTGACGCACATGAGCTCTCCTATTCTTTGTTTCGCAAGATCAGCAACAAGTTTATCAACTGGCGAAGTCTTGCATTATAATGTATAATTGGCCTATGCCATGTGCACAGCAGCAGCAATATTCCGCTATAACCGACTCGCAAGTGTGTCTGATAGCGCTATAGCAGTATTTTGTTTACAAAGGTAAAGAGGAGAAAAAAAACGGGGTTTTAGAATAGTGCCTTTATAACAGACTTCTCGTTTTTTCCGGACTCGTTATAAGTGGACTCCACTGTATTATACATGGCAGGTTCGACTGTATAAGAATATATATCAAACTTTGTATAAACATATATTGCAAAATATAACAAGTAAACTAGCAGCTAGATCAATCATACCATTTTATAAATTACTATGTAAATATTATATGATGTAGCAAATTAATAATGAATAACTAGTGGCTTACCAAGTATACCATTTTTTTAAAGTTGGTTTTAGTTTTAGTAGATGTTTTACGGCGCTCGAAACTGCATAAGGTCATATGAGCGCCAGAAGATTAGATGTGTTACAAGAGAGTAACAAACTTAAAAAAGAAGAAGGGGAGATAAGGACGATAGATGTTTTATTGGAAAGAAGAAGCAAACCACACCAGAGCACCCACCAACCACCCACATATTATTATTGTACTACTAAAAATTAGCATTTTTCAAAAACATTTTTCATCAAACACTGATATATGCACAGTGTGTATTCCTACTGAATATGTACATTGAGGAACGACATTGAAGAAAAACTTTCCGTATTGTTTCATTCGGAAAGCTGGGGCCTTTCATATAATAAGCGACAGGGTAACATAAAAAAAGGACTAACAAACAAAGAGGAGGAGGAGGAGGGGGAGAAGAAGATGAAATAGAAGAAGAAGACAATAACAACAACAACAACAATAACAACAACAAAACAACAAAAACAACAACAACGGCAACTACAACTATTTGAAAAGATCGACATAAAGATGGTCATTTAATGTAGAGAAAACTTATGACAAGATAGATAAAATCTAAAGAAGAGATAGTAAAGAAGTTGTATATAACAGTGAATAATAGTGCTACATTCCACTACTATATGAAAAACTCATATAATTGTTTGCTTAAGTAAAGAGAAGGGCATTAATTAACACAACATTGGCCAATTGGTCCCAGGAAAAAAGTTAGACGGTCAAATAACAATGACAAAAAAGTGTTACCCTCCAATGGCCAACCGCAATGCCAAACTCATAAAAATCATACTCTGAAATAAAGATTCCGAAGGACAACATGTCAAGAATGTATTTGATCCAGCTTTGATTGTGTACCTTCCATGCTGTAAAGTTTGTCACCCTGTCCAAATTTTTGGGTGTCAACTTTTGCTCTGATGTTCTTTTAATTTTTAATTATCATCCTCTGTCTCGAAGATCATAAAGTCCTGTTCAAGATAAATAGAAAAAGCAAACGAACACAAAATTAGATATTTGGAAATATCCAAGATGTCACCATAATTGTCTTCTTCTTCTTCTTCTTCTTCTTCTTCTTCTTCTTCTTCTTCTTCTTCTTCTTCTTCTTCTTCTTCTTCTTCTTCTTCTTCTTCTTCTTCT